AGAAAAAAAGGGGGTGTGTGTGGTGAAGCTAGACTGCCTTTACACAAGGGCATTTGAAAAGTAGTGTTTTGTTAGGCTGCTAGACTGACATGATCCAATTTTGTCATGAACACAAGGGCTGCTCAGCATCTTTTGCATTTGGGAATGAAAATTGGCCTCTCCTTTCTGAGCTTCTTCAAATGTTTTGTTATGTTAAACAGCGTAAAGAATGACAGACTTTCTCTATGGTGCTGCTTAAATTTACCTTTTTGTTTGTGTTCAATTTTTTCTTTCAAGTTTGCACCCGAGGGTGGGAGGTACAAAGATGTGGAAGTTAATAATGAGATTTAGGGGTTGCCTGGGTAAAAGGGTGGTGGTTTTGCCTTGAAATCAAAGCAAAGCGCAAAGCGTTGGTCTCACTGTTTTCATGTGGGTTGCTGTAGGTTAGTCCAGTCCAAGCAATGAGAAACGAGATCCTTTAGTGTTGTGCATTGTCTGCATATGGACTTGTTTAAGGAGGCTTGCCAAAGCAAAACTGCAGCCTGTGTTTTAAAACTGTTCATCACTGATTGCCAATATACTGCTTAAACCAATAGAAGCATTTCTGAAAAGCTTCTTTTCCTCCTCTGCAGTTCATGTAACCCAATAATTTTTTGGTATTTCTTTGCAAGGTTCTCCGCCCTTTTCTTTCTGTTCTATTGCTTTGCCTAGAAAATGATCATTGAAGAAATGATTATTGAATTATTGACTGTTTTCTCTCACTGTTTGTAATGCATCTGTGTTCTTCCAAAGCCATCTGTTTCCATATATGACATAAACCATTACATACCTGTTTGAGTTTGTTCCAGGGTGCTGGTGCATTTGCCCTACAAGGTGGTGAAAGTGTTCAACACCTTACGAGGAACCCGACATCTTGCTGAATTACATTTTCCCTCCCCCCCATACCAGCCAGTTGGTTTCAGTGTAGTAGTTCAGTTGTTTACTAAGGATTCTTGAAAACTGAAACAATTGGGAAAGGAACCTTATTTCTATCATTTCCCCAGCAACCTGCAACGAAGGCTGATTGCATCTTGTGCTGCTACTGTGTTTTGAAAGACATTTACGCCTTTAAAAAAAAGTAAAAAAAAATTGAGGTTGCTGGTTTAGGCTGTGTATTCACAGTGACTTGCTTAATTTGATACCATCTTTCGCAGCTACCTACACCCAAAACACACTTTGAAAAAAAGCCTAGGCTATCTGGGTAACAGTATCATTTTAGTGTAAGCTCCATTTAAGTTAGTGCTGCTGCAGTCTTGCCCTCCATATGGGGTGCTCCTGAGCATCCTCACTAATCCAGGGAGTTAAACTGACTGAGGGGCATTGCCCCACTTTTTTTTTTCTCTCCCCAAACTGTGCCAGCTTGACTCTTTGAACTTGGCTTGCTGAAGGTTTAAATAAGGAACATTGCAGAGCTGGCGTGAGTATAAACGTCTGAAGAAAAAAGGTGAAATGCAGAATTAAAGCAATTCTGAGTTAGACTTAAACTGTCATGGTAATGGAGCATTTTCTGCAAACACCCTAGCTGTTTGTAATGTCTACTCCAGCGAGAGTTAATAGCACATAATCAGTATGGAAATCTCAGCAGAATACGATGTGTGTTAGGGGAAAAAAAAAAAAGGTAGGTAGATAACAAGGAACAAAGTGTCTGATTGCATAGGGGTAGCTCAGAGCCAGTACCCAGTGAAGAGAACTGAACCTGCTTGACGTTTCCCTGAGGTTGATCATTGTCCTCTTGATCCGAACTGGTGGGAAGAGGGGCACTGGACGTGATCTGCCCAGCGTGTTTGCAGTGGTATCCTTGGCCTCTCTCTTCAGCAGCACAGGGCTGTTGGAGCCTGGCGTTCTGTGCTGTGTTTTTTCTTGGCAAGAATTTAGCCTGTGCAACCCATGAAAAGCCTACCTTATCTTGGCTAAAACCTGCTAACTATAGAAGCCTGGAGTCTGCCCACCATGGAGCTCTTGAGCACGCATGGTGCTGCAGCATTGCCTGGGCAATTTCTGTGGGTATGGGGAAATTTTCTCTTCCTCAAAGTGGAAGGCTCCTGAAACGGAGGAAACCCAGGAACGCAGTGAGCAAAGCGATGGCAGCCTGCATCAGGAATACTTGGATCATGCCAACCAATTAGTAAGCTATGGCTCTGGCTTTCACCACCGCTTGCCGCAGCACCCTGCGCCAATTCCCTGCCTGTACGTACCTTCCCAGTGCCCTCCCTTACGGCTGGGACACGGTGCAGATCCTGCATCACTGGGGATTGGCACCTGGGCTCCTTTGTTCCGGGCAGAACACACCTATCTGCCTGCAAGGGGTTTTTTTTTTTTTTTTTTTTTTTCGGACTGGTAGGTTTTTTGTGTGTTTTGCTGGCCTGACTGAGAGAAATTATATAGACAAAACGCTTCAGGAAGTCAAGATTGAGGTGAGGAGGGGATGAAAAATTAGGGATGGAAGGGTGGTCTGAAAGCAAAACCGTACTGTGGTGGATTGGAGGTAGGGAGATGGGAGCTTGCTCGTCCAGTGTGGGCACAGGTTCTTAGATGCTTGTGGCAAGCTGAATTTTGTGTGTAGTTCACTGATGGGAAAAGATGTGCTAGAGAAGAAATGTTTTAACCCTTGATAAACTTAAAAGGAAAAAATGCCACACAGTATCGAAACACTGACATTTCTCAAGTATTTATCTATCGGTTTCCACAGTTTGAGAAAGCATTATGGCCTCAAGTTGTGCCAGGGCAGGTTTAGGCTGGACATTGGGAAAAATTCCTTCCCCACAAGGGCTGTCACGCACTGGAAGGGGCTGCCCAGGGAAGGGGTCGAGTCCCCATCCCTGGGGGTATTTAAAAGCCAGATAGACACAGTGCTTAGGGCCAGGGTTTAGTGGTGGGCTGGCAGGGTTATGGGAACGGTTGGGCTTGATGAGCTTAAAGGGCTTTTCCAACCCAAACGATTCTATGACTCTCTGATTTGTCTTTAATAACCTGTACTTACTGGGTTTGATTTGAATACTGTATTTGGTACATTTATGCCCATAAAGCTTCCCATCTTCTTGATCTGATCTAACGGCAAGTGAGTTGTGAGCTCTTCTCAACGCTCCTTCCATGTTGTCAAAATCTGAGGTAGATTTCAGATATCGAATGTGTATGTGTGAAAATTACCTGGGCAAGCTGTTCTGGAAGTTTGCTGTTTCACTTATGTGTTTTGAGAGTTTTATTTTGTTTCGGGGGTGTGTGTGTGTGCGCTTCCCCCTCCTCTGTACTTTACATGTGGATATGCTTTTGCATTTGCCAGTTGTTATTGATTGGAAATATGGACAAATTGGAGAAGAAAAGTTTAACTTTTTTTTATATACTGTCTCAGGCTGATACATTCAGCACTTAAGGCATCACTGCATCTTTTTCTGTTCAAGATCTTGTTTGAGAGCGTTTCTCCCTGGAATTACTCTGTTCTGTCGATTCCTTTCATGCATCCAGTCTTGAGGGGTTTTCCCCCTTGCCACCCCCCAGTATCTGTGATTATATACTCTTGGGTTTTGATGAAGTTTCAGGACACTAATGAGCCAGCAGGGAGCAAAAGTGGTTAACAGCCACAAGAATGAAGAGGAGTGACTTGGCTGCGTTTCTGTATCTTGTGAAAACAAGGTGGATTAAATCAAGTTCTGGAATAAGAGAAAGCTTATCGCTTTGCTCTAAACAGGAGGAATTATTTCTCTCAAGCTAATTCTCCCTTTCTTCAAATGCAGCTTGTCTACACAGTTCAATAGTTATCTTTGATTTATTTGTTTTAACTTAAAAGAAAACCCTGTGATGTTTCCCTAGATTCTTGGAATAACTTCAGGATGCCTTAAATGCTGTCATCTTGGAGTCACAGCCTCCCCAGTTTTCTTGACTTTCTAGCCATAATAAAAAATAACTCCATTATGTACATTCCCAATTGTACTGCGAATACTTTAATTGAGCTCAGTTCCCTCTCTGTACAATTGTGCTCGGAGCGTGCACCTGTGTCTGATTTGCCCAGCCGTTCCCTTAGCGTGTCAATATATCGCTGAGCCTGGAGAGTGTTTAACTGGGAGCAAGGGAGGAAAAGCTGCATGAGATGGGACAAACTGGTACTGATTACAAATACAGTATGGTTTTGTCCGGAAGATATGGAGCTGGGATTAATTTTACAGCTGCAGGGAAGGGGGTTAACTTGTGGGGTTTACTACCCCACTGATTGCTAATGACACCCAGGGCAAGCTGTAGGGTCCTACCCTGTATTCAGTGTGACCTTGAAATGTATGCCCCAAAAGATAATGGCAGCTTCAGCATTTTTAATATTGGAGTATGCGTCTTATTGAGGAAAATGCACCGTAGTGCTCTGTGGTAAATAGTTCTGTGTGTCTTTCAGTTATCTAGGTTTATTTAAAAGTCCAGAAAGCAAAGGGTAGACATAAAATATTAGTATCACTTGGTGTACAAATGCCATTCCTCCTCTCATTATGTGCTTTGTGTCACGATCTAATTACTGTGAAGTTAATGTCTCTGTGCTTATGTGTCTCAGCTCAAGAAATGAGCTATTCCAGGAAGAATTACCTGCGGTTAATGAGCTGATTATCCAAACCAGTTTGTTTTGAAGGTACACAGTTGTAAATAAGAGCAAAACTGGACCCGTGATTCCCAGAAGCAGTCAGGGAGAGTCTGTAATGACTCTTTAGGAGGAGTGTATGAAAAGTCACATTTCCTTCCATTGCATTTCAACTTTTACCTGCTTATCGGGCTGCGCCATCTCTCTGAAAATTGTTGCTTTTTAAGAATTTGAAGCACTTGTGTTAATGCTGATATGCATAAACATTAATTTCCAAACCTGCAACTGAATTTATGGACTCGAGGAAGTCTTGATGTAAACATTAAATACGAGTGGAGCTGGTGATACTGAGAGTTGTTTGTTCCAGTGTGTTACTGCCAGTCCTGTTCCTTCCCATCTTACTCTTGTCTTTCTCATTACAGGTCTTGATGCAGAATTGTCTTATGTGAGGAATGATGTGGTTAATCACTATGCGTTGTCCTTCAATCTCTTAATACCCAGTGAGACCAACAACCTTCACTTCAGCTGGCATGCTAAATCCAAGGTAAGCAGGCACAGCTTCTGTGTCTGAGTAGTCGATACATGATCTGTATTGCTTAGTGAATACACACCATTAAAATTTAATAGCTTTTTTTCTTTGCAAAAATTAGCATACGCTAGGTGCAAATGAATTACTTATATGATTGCAGGCAGTAAGTTAAGATGATATGATTCCAAACTGTCCCTTTACTGTTTTAGAAAGGTTCAGCACTTGAAAAGAAGTGGTTTAAACTTCTTGCTTCTGGCAAGCTATGCGTGTATATATACAAGCTACTGGCTGTGGGATCTCTTCTGGTAGGGCATTGAACATAGAGAAGGGGCAGCCATGAACCGAAGCCTCTGGAAATTGAATGTAGAGCAATTGTGTTTTAGAGAGTTCTAGAAACATATGTTTGGAGACAAGAAGAACCTATAAAAGTAGCATCTAGTGTGTTATTACTGAGCACTGATTGAATGGAAAGGGATTTTTATTTCACTTAATCACCGTGGCTGGAGCATGCTGCAACAGCTGTCTTAAAGATTGCATATGCTCTTACATTTTGAAGGATTTCCAGTTACTTAACTATATTTTTGTATATGAAAGGATCTGTTTAGTCTCTGCCAGATGTTCTTTTTCTTTTTTTAAACTGGAGTGATGGTTATTCTTCTGTCCTTAAGTAGGAAAGACTGCAGTAGGAACAGTAATATTTAACAACTCCACCAATGCAATTTCTGAAGATTCCTTCTGCCATTGTTCTTCCCTTTGAGGTGTAACTTCTTAACAGATGTGAGTTTTGGTCTGCAATGATGCTGGGTATGGTGCAAGCCAGCCCTCCTGCTTGATATACTGTCCTGGTTTCAGCTGGGATAGAGTTAATTTTCTTCAAAGTAGCTGGCATAGTGTTGTGTTTTGGATTTAGTACTACAAGAATGTTGATAACTCACTGATGTTTTTGGTTGTTGCTAAGTCGTGCTTAGGCTACTCAAGGACCTTTTGAGCTTCTCCTCCTCAGCCAGGTGCATAACAAGCTGGGAGGGAGCACAGCTAGGACAGCTGACCCAAACTGACCAAAGAGCTATTCCATACCATGTAATGTCATGCTCGGGGGGGGTTAGTTGGTCGGGGAGGGGGAAGAGTGATCACGGCTCGGGACATTCTGGGCATCGGTTGGTGGGTGGTGAGCAATTGCACTGTACATCATTCATTTTGTATATTCTGTATATTCTCTTACCATTATTTTTTTTTTTTTCTCTTATTAAACTGTCTCTATCTCAGCCCATTGCTCTAACCTTTTTTTTTCTTCCTGATTTTTCTCCCCCACCCCACTGAGGGAGGGGGAAGTGAGCGAGCGGCTGTGTGGTGCTTAGTTATCAGCCGGGTTAAACCATGACATATTGCATTCCACCTTCGCGGGCAGTTCAGTCACTTCTCATTTGAATAGAACCCTTGAAGGAGTTTCCTTGTTCTTACAACTTCAGCTATGAGCTACCTGCATCCCTGTCCCTCCCTGGGTTTCCTTGGGCCTGTCTGTGAATTTGGAATAGGAATTTTTGAGCTTCTGTAGCTCTGCTTCCATTACCGTGATTGCACTGCTCGGCATCTTCTGTGCTAAGTTTGTAGGATGGGTGTAGTGCAGTTCATAGGAACTCAGAAACTGGGTTATGTTTCTTCCCTTGGCATCTTGACTGAAAAATAAATTGATAACATAAATGTTTTAGAAACAGGAAAAAAAAAAAAAACTAATAGGGCAAAGTCAAACCAAATTAATTCAGCTGAGTGTGGAGGGATAGGACGAATTTCCAACTGGAGTTTATGGCTTAGTTACAACAGGTCCTGTACTTTTTTTGAGTGAATATTTGCAGAATCAGCTTCTTGAGTGGAAATGAAATCTTGACTGTACTTGAATAAACTGTTTGTAAGCAATTTTGGCTGTGCAGTTTATAAAACTGACTAGAAGAGGGGGAATTTTTGAATTCCTATGGTTTTAACAAACTGGCTTTGGAACAAATAAGTTTGAAAGTGTCAGCAAGTGAGATTTGTGGTGTGGTTTTTTTTTTGTTTTGTTTTTCAATCTAGCACTCTAAATTCTGCCCCAAATTTTCAAAAGTGGCTTCTACTTTGGCTTTCTCAATTTGAACTGTACAAAAGTCAGATATTTAGACTTCATATAAGAAAACTTGAATGTAGGCACCTAAAATCACCAGCATTCTTTGAAAATAAGATACATCTTTTTAATTTCAAGAATAATTATGAAAAGGTACGTAGCATTTCTTTCTACTACTGTTGAGATTTCTTACGTGTTTTTCTATCTCCCAACTATTATTACAGGTTGAGTATAAACTGGGATTTCAGGTAGATAATCCCATGGCTATGGCTATGCCTCAGGCCAACATTTCTCTACAAGGAGAAGTTCCTCGCACCCTTTCAGGTAAACTCCCCACCCCTCAAAAGTGCACAGCTACTGCCTTATCCGGTATTGCTTTCTGGTAATACTTTGTTTTTTTCCAAAATGTGTGTGGTGTTGTGCAAGAGCACAATTTTTCTGTTAAACATAACATGTTTACAGGCCTTCTGCAACAGTTACGACATTCCTAAAAGGCTATTATAGATTAGAATCATGGGATTGTTTAGGTTAGAAAAGATCTATAAGATCGAGTCCTAACCCTGCCATTACACCACTAAAATATGTCCCCAAATGCCACATCTACATACCTTTTAAATCCCCCCAGGGATGGGGACTCGACCCCTTCCCTGGGCAGCCCCTTCCAGGGCTTGACAGCCCTTGCAGGGAAGGAATTTTTCCCAATGTTCAACCTAAACCTGCCCTGGCACAACTTGAGGCTGTTTCCCCTCGT